AAAATTAAATACAAAAAACATGTGTATATTTTGTAAAATATTTATACACTATTTATTATTAAATTTATTTACATCTATATCTATATAAAAAGAATTATCATTTACTAAAAACAGTAGCAAAAATTTAAGAAACATTTAATGCAAACTATTTTTAGAAATTTTTTAAATGTATGCATTAACTACTTCTATTTACATGTTTTCAAATAAGATCAAATAACATATGATCAAATTATTACTTCAATAAATTTATTAATATCTGCAGTATTTTCATTGATATATTTATTATAATAAATTACAATATTGATTTTCGTGATTCATGTTGATAATATTTTGGTCAAGATAAATATTATTTTATTAATATTTGTAATACTTTCATTGATATTCATTATAATAAATTACATGATTGATTTCTGTGATCCATGTTGATAATATTTTGGTCAAGATTATATTACACCATATTTTAAGTTCCAACCATAATATTAGTTTTATTTTCACAAATATTTACTTTTTATCCAAAAATATTTATTGAAAATCGTAACAGGTTAGGTAGAATTTTTTTTCCAAGTAATCACACAAAATTAAGTTGGTGAATTAATCTTTGCCAATATATTTGTTTCTTAAGCTTTATTTTGTTAAATATAAAAAATAAATTGTTCTTCAAATTAATAGTATAATTTACTATTTAAGAGATAATAACCAGATATAATAAATAGTTTTACTAACGGTAAAAAATTAAAATTGAAACATATTAACTATTGTTTAAAATTTATTTGTATATTATTGGCACCCATGATTATATTTTTTTTATTTTTTTTATTTATTTTTATAATTAAATACTTGTAAAATATATTTTCATTGATGAGTATGCTAAACAAACTATAAATCCTTATAATGCGAATTATAAAAATCTTGATCATAGAGGGGATCGAGTTTTTGGTATTTTCTGACTCAAAGTTGTTTAATTAGCATACAAAATTAAATACAAAAAACATGTGTATATTTTGTAAAATATTTATACACTATTTATTATTAAATTTATTTACATATTTTAAATTGATTACATAAAATAAATAATACAAACGTGCATTAAATATTTTTCTTTATATCAAATAAAAATATAAATAAGACGTACAACTTCTATAACTTTATAATCAATAATGACATTATATGACATAAAGTGTATAATAAAATAATAATTAAGTATTATATGATGAACAAGAATATTATTATTCTCTCTTATATCAAGGAATATATATATACTAAAATCAAATTTAAATTATGATAAATGTGTTAGTGAAATAATATATTAATTATTTTAATATTTTGACTAAAGAAATAACGTTGATTAAAAGAGGTGCAAAATATATTATAACCATATTGTTTATTATACTTAACGCTGATTAAAAGAGATGAAAAATAGATGATAATCCTATTGCTTTATATACTTAAACGGACAAAGTATGTGAAAATAACTCATTTTATATTTCTGTCCCGTGCATCGCACGGGGTACATACTAGTTTACTGAAAAAAGTAGTAAAATATTTTGAGAGCATTAAATTTAATGCATACTTTTTTTGGAAACTTTTTAAATATATACATTAATTATTTTTATATACACATTTTCAAATAAGATCCAATTAGATATAATTAAAAAAATTATTTCCTTAAATAATTTTATTAATATATGAAATTATTTCATTGATATCCATTATAAAAATTACAAGATTGATTTTACGTGATTCATGTTGATAATATTTTGGCCAAGATAAATATTAGATTATATTTTAAGTTCTAACCACAATATTAATTTATTTTCACAAATATTCACTTTTTATCTAAAAAAACTGATAAGAAAATTGTAACAGGTTAGAAATATTTTTTTTTTTCCAATTAATAAGGCAAAATCAAGTTGGTAAATTAATCTTTGTCAATATAATTTTTTCTTAAGCTTTATTTTGTCATATATAAAAAATATTTTGTTCTTCAAATTAATATAAGTTACCACTTAAGATATAATTACTACATATATTAAGTAATTGTGCTAATGGTCAAAAATTAAAATTAAAATATATTGATTGTTCTTTAGAATTTATTTATATATTTTTGGCAATCATGATTATTTTTTTATCATTTTTTTTTATTTTGATTTATTTCTATAATGAAATTCTTGCAAAATATATTTTCATTGCATATGGAGCTGGAAGAGTCATTGTTGACAATTCTCCTGGCATAGTGCTAATAATGGACTAGATCAAAATGACTCAATTCAATTCTAGTGCTTCTTCTATTAGTGAAGTTTCTAGAAAAAAATATATCAAACGACGCAACGCACCTTGGGTCTCTATGGAAACAGCCTCCTTGTATAATTACAAGGGTAAAGTCTGCGTACAACTGCCCCCTAGATCCCAACCTGTTGGGAATGTACTGGGTATGTTGATAGAAAGGATTGAGTTTCTTGCATTTTCTAAATCAAAGTTTTTTAATTAGTATACAAAATTAAATTCTAAACAAACATGTGTGTATATTTTATAAAATACTTATACACTATTTAATTTTACATTTGTTTACATAAATAAATAATACTAGCGTCCATTAAATATTTTTCATTACATATAATAAAAAAAAAATAAGACGTATAATTTTTATAACTTCTATAAATAATAGTGACATTATATGACAACAAAGTTTATTATAAAATAATAATTAAGTATTATTTGGTGAACAAGAATAAGTAAAACTGTTATTTCTCTTATATCAAGGAATAAATATATATACTAAAATCAAATTTATATTAGTATAAATGTGTTAGTGAGATAATATAATAATATTTTCTTTCTATTCCCTCCTCTGCTGGCCCAGTTAACCAGCAAGATCCAGATGCCCCCAGAGAAGCCCTGCGTCTCAACTCTGTCTTCGCTATCGGTCACCCAGGAGTATTTAGCCTTACAAGGTGGTCCTTGCTGATTCACACGGGATTCCACTTATTTTACAAACTAGCCTAATATGCTCATATTGAATGTTCTGACTAAAAAAAAAAAAAACAACACTGATTAAAGGAGGTGGAAAATAGATTATAAATCTATTATTTTTTAGACTTAACGCTGATTTCAAAATTAAACGGACAGAATCTATGAAAATTACTTATTTAATATGAGGTGGAAAATTATTAACTTTTTAAAAATATTTATAATCTAAGTAAGTTAAATGTTTATAGTTTTAAAAATCGTAAGTATCGTTAGAGTCCAGATTTACATGGAGTATTTTGAATCACACCCATGTATTATCTGGTGATGGCCGGTGGGCGATGATAAAAAAATTCATAAATAAAACAACATACTCAATATATTCCCAACTGGTTGGGGTCTGGGAGGTCAGTTGTAGGCAGACCTTACCTTTGTAATTATACAAGAAGGCTGTTTCTGTAGCGACCCAAGGTGCATTGCGTCGTTTGATATATTTTTTTTCTAGAAACTTCACTAATAGAAGAAGCACTAGAATTTAATTGAGTCATTTTAATCTAGTCCATTAGTAGCACTATGCCAGGAGAATTGTCAATAATGACTCTTCCAGCTCCATTTGCAATGGACAAATAAAAAAAAAAATCATAAATAAATTGAAAACATATATATGTAAGAGAAAAGTCTCTAAATCATTCTTACAAATTTATATTTTAGATGACACTTATAATTTAATACTACTATAATAATTTTCAAGTTTTATTTTATCACTAAGTGGTGAGTGATAATGTTGCATTGGAAGATTCTCTCTGTGGAAATAATATAGATATAAAAATAAATACATAAATAAATAAATCATATAGCCAACGATACTCCCTTATAGAGCATCCATCTATAAATCAATCAATTAATAGTAATTTAAGTATTAAAAATAATACAGACGAGTTGAAAACATGGCGTTAGATAAGACAATTTGAACAACTGTTAAACATGGCGTTACAAGTGCTTTGACAAGAAAATTTCCACGTATTCTTTTACTCGCCTATTAAAATCCAGTATCAGACAATTACTGAATTACATCATATTTGGCCAGTCTGACAGAGCAAAAAAGAAAAAATCAAGAAGTACGCAAAGAAAAAATATAGCCTACAGAAGAAGATTGCTTCGACTGTCGATACTCAAATGAAAGAAAAAAAACAAAACGAACACGACAAAGTAAGGACTTTGGGATGATTATCGCATTTAATGGTGTATAATATATTCCAAAACACTAGCAACTGAGAAGAGCGAAGGATGGCAAGTCTTCAAGACTTGCAACATCTTCTTGCAGAAGCTCCCTCTCCAGCTGCCGGCGAGTGGCTTTCATCACAGCCTAAACCGTCCCACAAAGAGAAAATATTGATTAAGTAAGAAGAAAAATGACTTGTCAGAAAAGAAAAAAAAAAATGGGACGAGGGCAACAACAATATATTTTCAGGGTGGGTCATTATAATCGTAACATAATTGTTATCACTGCTTTCTGCGGCAATCTTGTAGCTATTTCAATAGCAAAAGTGATTTTTGCTAAAATAGTGAACATGAACACTTACATTGAAATCCATGTAAGAAGCATGCATGGAGAGCCACTGGTTGTCCATTAGCTTGAATGTGATACAGTAAAGAAGCTCAAACGCTGATTCATTTTCTGTCGGCAAGATGAAGTGAACTCAGCAAACACGTGCAAGGAGCAGTGAAGTTTGAAGAGTAAAACTGTGAGATTAGCTACGTTCAACTAAGTTTCTAATTCATTTTATGGAGCAGAAGCACATTAGATTTGTAACATTACTCAAGTGAGGTAAAGAGAGATGAAAACCATTATACCTGCAAGAAACTTCAAGAAGGTGGCTCCCACAAGTGTTCTGGGCTTCACTGCAAAGATGAGGCAACAGATTATACTAGCAGCGACAAAATCCAACCTACCCAGTAACTTGTTTTATGGAAAACCTTTTTCACAAGTTCAGTAAAGGTATTTCTGTGCACAAATTATGCCACCGGCAATAATGGAAGTTTGACTGCAGATGCTCAAATACAGGTACTCTTATGTTAGCAATGAAGAAAAGATGACACAAGCAAGGGATTCATCACATCAAAAGCAATTACAATCGCATAAACAAGGAAAAAGAACCTTCTCAACTCTAGTTAATGAATAAATAAGAAATGGAAAGATCTGTAAGAAGCATTGTCAGCCTGGTTGATATTCGATAATATCTACAACAATTATGTATGTATATTTAGAAAATCAAACTTCTTTAGTTACTAACGCATTTGACACTAAAACAGGTATATGCTGCACCAAGATTTTTCTGATGGAAGCAATTGCAGAGGGGGAAAAACTATGGTGAGGAAATTAACAGGACCTAGGTTATATCCATTGAGAAAGAGGCAAATTGCTTTTGATGGAAAAGAGAAGGAAAAAGTAAAAGGACAAAAAATAAAATCATTAAGATATGAGTCTCAGAATTCACCTGCTTCAAGATCAAGCATTTGAATTAACATGAATGTGATGTTTACACCAGCTACAGCAAAGGGATATTCCCACAATGCACGATCACCTTCCTTCTTCTTAAGTAAATCTTGAAATGATTTCTATGAGAAAATTTGGCAAGTATCAGGTAAAGTCAATATTCTCAATATGCACAACTGAAGAGAAATTAAAGACAGCAAACGTGACAAGACCCTTAAGATACAACACCAAGTATCAGGGTAGTAATCCGCACCACAAAATCCAGTTTAATGCATGATGGCATTATGACTGAAGGAGGAAATAACAGGAAGAGAAATGAGAGACAATATGGAACACACACAGAGAGAGAGAGAGAGAGAGAGAGAGAGAGAGAGGCCATACTGGAAAGTTTCTCGCAAAATATAACAAATTTTCCAACGATATGAAACCACCACCCCTGAAGAATAACAGCCAAATGTCCAAAGCCATAAGTAATAAGATGGATAGAATTTCTGCCAATCTGGTCCGAGGGATCAAAGAGAAGTCCAGGAATACCTAAAGTCTGTAGATGGATCTTTACCCTGCCAACCCATTTCTTTCCATTGCTCTGATATTAATCCACGGAGTTCCTCTCCAGGAAAGGCAGCACTCCACAAAGCCCTTAAAGCTTCCTATAAAGAAAATGTTCCTGATATGATGAGAAAGTAGCACTAAAACTTGTAATAATTCTCCATTTACAATTTTGAGAACTGTACCTGATGTTCTGAAACAGAACTATCATAGTTCACATCTATCCGGTTCTGTAGTCTATGCAAGCATTCCTCCTGATGCATAGATCGATTCAGAAACATCATAATCAATTTAATAGGCAACAATTGTGGGAAATTAACAGCAAAATACTAATAAAATGCTAACAGGCACACTTTAAATGGGGGTCAACTGATAAAACGAGACATATATGCAAGACCAAAGTGTGAAAAGTAGTAGCACAGGCTATGGGTAAATATTGCTAAGCCACGTTTTGACTTCACTTTTCTGTTCCAACCCATTGGACTGAATAAATTCAACGGAATTAGGTACTCATACACACATGATCATTATCAATACTAAACAACCGAGCCATAGATAAACAACACAAACCATATTTCAAGAAAGTCAATACAACAGAACATTACCTGTGCTGCTGTCAAATCAAACGATGGGCGAGCATCACTGTCTCTTCCTTGAACACAAACACATGAAAGCCCTCTGCCTAGCCATGCAGTAGATCCTGCCACAACTTCCACTGTAACAAAAAAAAATGATTGGCAAAAATAAACAAATGTGATATATTATGAGTCTATTCCGAGTTCCTTCTGAAATGATGTGGCATACTTGTATTATATCTAGAATAATTTTTTCTCCAAATAGGCATGGAAAAAACAATGTTCAATTGAATAGTTAAAACTTAAAACACATAAACCTCATGAAATTTAAACCTCGATCGTATACACTCTTTATTACTTACAATCAGTGTTAAACAAAAAACACTGTTTACAAAAATATGTTCCATGTCCACCTGCTAATCACTACCGAAAACCTGTCAAATGACGGTAGCTAGAAATAAGGAGAATGAAAACAAAAAAAAAAAAGTTTATGGCATTTCAAGGCATATTAACAAATTTAAAACAAAGAATTGCATACAAGCTCCAAACAATAAAGAAACCCAATCAAATATCTCAGCGCAAGTAGGCATCAACGAGGGCAACTTCCCTGGATTCAGTTATTCTTCAACATGCACTTCAGATTTCCGTACAAATTATAGGATACATTTATAATATCACAGTGACAGTTGAAACGGAGACGAAAATCAGAATACATAGAAGTTAGGTAAAAACGAGAAAAAAAAAAAAAAAAAAAA